TTAGCCGGTCAATGGTCAAATCAATTACTTTAAAAAATCTGAAAAAAGAATTAAAAATAGAAAAAAAAGAACAATATAAATGCATGTGATCACAATGCTGCTTATTTATTGGATCCTCAATTTAATGAATCATGTGATATAATACCAGAATTAGTCATTTTACAAGGTGGTGGTGATTAAAATATTTCAAGTGATATCATAAATTTCAGAAGTAAAAACAGCATATTTAATAACAAAATATGTGGAAAGCAGTAATTTCAAAAAGAAACAATCAGATTTCGGCCCCAAGTTGGTGGAACTCCTTGCCCATAAGTGGCATTTTATTAACAATTCCTAGTTCTACTTCTTCAGAAAATTGATCTAGTTGGGTTAATATTCACTACAACAGAGATTGATTTAGACCTCGACAATAGAAAAACTTATTTATATTTAAAAAAATAATAATATTGAATATGAATCAGAACAAGCCTGCCACGGAGAGCCAAACATTAATGCTAGATAGAATGACAATAAATTAAAAAAATATTGTAAATTAATACATGTTCATTTTACTATTATATACAAAATAAAGTTAATGTTATCTTATAAAACATTTATTTGAATTTCATCAAATTTTACGGTCAATTACACAACTCTCAAGATAAATATTCATTCGCAATAAATTACAATATTATATAAAATCATGGTTCAAACCGAATCATCCAACTCTTTAATTGTTCGAGTCGATAAAAATAATTAGATTCAATATGGATCCCTGTTTGTTTTCATTTTGCAGTTTTTAATAAAAGAGTGAATATGAATTATTTATCATTTATTTGCATTCATTTACTTTTTCAAATAGCTATTAAAGGATTAATATTATATAAATTATTTTGGCCGTGAAGTAATAAAATAACTGCCACTCAATTTTAATTTATTTGATATTTACTATAACTGCTTCTTTAACTTAATTCGACATTTTATAGTTTTTGGAATTTGAATTTAGTTCCGGTTCCCGAAATTTCAAAGAAATAGGATCTGATTCCGGTTTTAGACCTTTTTCGCACAGCCTACCAGAAACGGAAGCAAAACCTATTTTAAAATTTTCATGAACCTGTTCAAACAAAAATGACTGTAATTTATTATATAATATTATGAGAATCTTTAGAATGTTTATTTAATAGTATTTTATAAAATTAATTTTACCGTTAAAAAAATTATAATAAAGATAATAGAACTCTAGGCCGAGTTTTAATTGGTTTAAGTTGATCTGACCCAACTTTGCACGCGTCTGGTTTTGACCTGTCCGTGAAGGTCCTAATTGATAGCAATATAGTTTGATCAAGACGATAAATTATATGTCCTACCTGAATTTTCGTTAAATTCTTTTTCTATTATTTTTGGCCGGTTTCTTATTTCGAAATCATATTTTATTGAAGTTATTATAACCGTTCTTAATATATAAGTAAATTTTACATTATTTAAAAAAAATATATATTTTAAAGAAATAGATAATATTTTTTTATTAGTACAGTACATCAAACTACCAGATAAATATATCTTATTTTATTATAATAGAATGTGTGATTTTTTTTTCATATAAATTATTTTAGTAAATTAAAGTCATTTAATTATATTACTTAATTATGCCATTTTAGATTTTTGCTTTATAAACCAAACCAGTTGTATACAAAGAATGTGTTAATAAATTTATATTACAAAAATGAACGTGTAAAATAAGATAACTAGTAGAAAAATATTCGCTATCTTAAGCATAGGCATCTAGCCAATTGGGGTGAAAAATTCCTCCTTGACAAATTTGCCAAGTTTCGTAAATGCCTGCTAGCCAATAAAAATTGATAAACCCTGCAGCCCATTCCTTTGCCTACCATATGAATAAAATAGGCAAACTATAAACCTAATTTTTTTAAAAAATAATAAGTATTAGTTAATGACTTTAAGGAAAAATTAATATACCCAATGTCATTTTATCATAGACTGAAAACGATTAATTTTATTGAAAGTGTAGATGTAGATGTATTGAAGTCCGGGAACCGATTTACTCAATATACTGTCTGATTAAATTTGAATATTATTTACTGTTACATCTGGTTCGTCCAACCGAACTCCGGACATTCGCATTTGGTCAGATATTTTTTCGAGAACGGTGGGGTTCTGGCCTTTATTTTAGATTTTAATTCTGATATGGATTGGAATTGGACATTGTTTAAAAATAAATTTTCATTGTCCGCTTGTTGATTAAACAAAAAATAAGTCTAACGCTGCATAAATTTACAAATGCAATCCAATAATCGGTATAATTTGTAAATACAGAGCGAAATGAATATTGCGACAACTGTTTACGTATAATCCAAAAGGTATTAATTATAGCTATGACGAATCAGCTGTGATTTCGTTAGCGATTAATTGTGCTTCGCTTGAGCAAATCGCTCTTACTATAAATGCAGCTTAAGATAAAATTGCCACAAATTATTATTAGGAAAATTTTTTTTACTAAAAATTAAAAACGAGTTTAAAAAGATTTATAATAAAAACAAATCGCGATTATAAAAATAACTTTAAATAAATTAGACGATTTAAAAAAAAAGAGTGATATGGGCTTATTTCAGAAACCTCCATGAACTGGGCGGGTATGGGCTTAATATTATAGTTTCTAGTAGGCCTGGGCCGGGCCTTGATTTAAAAAAAATTTCTAATGGACTTGGGTCTAAAATTTTTTTAATATAAATTTCGCTTATTTAGTTGCCAACTTAAAAATAATTATATTTCTTATAATAAATTTCAGTATTATAAACAAAATGATTGCTTAAATGACTTAAATATTTTTTTTTTCATGAAAATACAATAAATTAAATTTTTAAATATAGGTTTGGACCGGTTTAATATTAAATATGATGGGCTGGGCTTGGGCCTAAAAAATTTTTTATGGTAGGCTAGGTTTGATCAAGAAATTAAGGCCCATGAAAGTCTTTGGTTTATTTTCTGCATTGCTATATGGAATCACGAATAGCAATGCAATCGCTGTGATGAATGGCCTTGTTTTAGGTAGAAGGCTTCATTACGTTTGCCCCGCTTAATTTCCTACCTAATTTAAAGTTCTTAAATTCTATTTTCTGTTTTTTAAATTTATTTATTTTAAAAAGTTAAAAAATTGTCGATTATTGTTTTCAAGGAACTTATTATAAGTCATTGCCACGTGTATGATTATATCATAAAAAAATATGAAGGTATTATGTTCATAAATTTTGATTTTATTTTAACCCCCTCTTTACCTAAACCTAACTTTATATTTTAATTGTTTATAAAAAAATATAAGTATGTAAAGTCTTTCTCTGAGTTTATTCTATGTTGTTTTATTTAATATATTTGAACGCTTAGTCCAAAATCTTTTTTAATAAATTGGAATTGTTTTAAAACATTCAGAAGTTATAAAACTTTATAGAATTTTATATTAGACATGTTTTTATATCAGGATATGTTAAAAAATTTCATGAAATTTGAAATTTTAATGAAATCGTATCAATTTAAATTTTTTTTATATTTTGGACATGTTTTTATTTTTATATTAAGAAAAGCTAATTTCTTTTTTTTCGACAAAGTTTCGAAAGTTTGCGAATTTAATTTTTGGACACAACCTTAAAAAAAGTTTATATTATTATTTTTTCTATAAAGTTTAAAAGGTTTGCGAATCGTATTTTTTTGATATTTTGGACTTAGTCTAAAAGACATGTTTTTTACTTTGAATCTAAATTCATAAGTTATAACTACTAATAATTATTGTTGTTTAGGTAATGGTTAAAATAAAAAATTGGAATAAACTGGCGCAATCTACAGTGCACGTGCCGGAAAAAAATCCACTATAGGCATCGAGGCCCGAGTTAATTTATTTACTTTTCAAAATTGAGCTGTATTTTTCATTTAAAAAAAAATTGAGACTGATCTGATAGTTTTTTGGCTTGAAACTAGGTTTCACCGTTTTTTAGCCTGATAAATTGATTAATTAGCCAGCTATACAATTATTAAAATACAATTCTAAATAATAAATCAATTTATAGAAATATCCTTAAAAGTAGCTATTTTCTTGACAAATGGTTTCCTGGATACCTAGAAATATCGATTTTTTAATTTTACCATCAGCCTTAAGAGAACTGCTAACTTGTTATTATACCACTAGTATTGGATCCACAACAGAGATCGATACGCTTTTATCACGTAAATTTGCCTAATTATAATTTTTGAAAAATTTTCAAAACTTCGACCCAGTCCGTAAAAATATTTCACACAATCTGCCAGGCGACTTCGATCTCTAATACTAATTACCAACCATAGCTATATTATAGAGACTAACCTTATCCCACTAAAAAAATATTAAAAATATAATCCGAGAGCATTATATCTGATCGCTAATTTTTTTTATATCAAATAGGGAAATATTTTAACGGTGCTAATATTATTTTCCATTTTTTTAGAAATAATATCAATTTTATTTAAATTTATTATATAAAGGCTTAATGTTTATTTAAAATTCTCGATAATTCATTCCATATATATACACATGATCAAGTAACAGATATCCATTTTTACTACCACCTTATGTCGTAGTTTTGTTCATTTTAAAAAAGCAAGCTAATTTTTTTAATGATAATTTATTCGCATAATGGAGAGCTTAGTACTCATCTTTATCATGTCAGTAGCTTTTTAAATAAAAGCTAAAGGTTTTGTAGCCATTTTTTTATAATAATTAAAAACTCTTAAATGAGTAAATGTTTTTTTTATCATCCCAACATTAAATATAATTATCTCTTCTATTTAAGATGGGGGGGGGGGGGGTAGGTATCTTAAAAAAATAACGCGCCCTATAACATAATTTGTAATTTATTTACATTTATTGTGTGACTGACACGATAAAAAAATGCGGATGGATAAATCGATAAAGTGTAATATTAATTGGTTTTTATGATTAAAGTATTTTAAAAAAAATTATTTTTACAATATTATAGTATTTGGGGTGTACGGAAGTTTTCGAGTCACGTGGAATGCAGGTGTGCGAAGAGGCATTTAAAACGCTGAAGGTTTGTTTAATTTTTACTTTTTTATAAAAGTATGATTTATAAAAACAATAATTATTTATATCAGAGACCTGCAGGCCCGGCCGTGTTTTAATTTTTGAAAAAAATATCCGGGCAGGGCCAAAAAAATTTTTTTTTTAAATAATCTGCACCAGTTCTGGCCGTACAAATGGTACCTCTGCAGGTCTCTGATTTATATCTTAAAATATTGACCCAAGAAAGAACCTATCTGATTTGAACCTCCAATTTTGTAAAATTTAATTTACGGAAGAATAGAAATCATATTTAACCAAAATTATTGACAACCATTTAAAATCTCAGTAGAGCTGATAGACTTATAATGTCCCCGTCGGTTGGGTGAGTTTATATGTGTCTTTTTTTAAATAAAATATTTAAACACGCTGAGAATATTTTTGTTAAAATAAAAGTTGTACAAAAAATTTATATTAAATCTACCCCATATCTTTAACCTTTTTTAACCCTATCATGTGGTTGGCTTGAAAAAAAATGGACCCCACCATTGATTGAACTCCGGTCTAAATATCTAGCTGTGTTTTTTCAGTTCAGACTTCCTAGAGTCACCACCTCCATTTAATTCGATATGTTGATAATTCACTGACGTGTTTCGATATTTTATTTTTAAAAAATGAAAGCCAAGGACCCGCAGAGGTCAAAATTTTAGGCCCCTGGGTTTTTTTTGCCAGGTGCAGATTTTCAATTTCTCGGCCCGGAATTTTTAGAGTTTCTTTATTTTAGATAATTTTGCAAGTTGTTTTATAGGGAAATTGAAAATATGAGCAGTAGAGGAATATTTAACGATCCAATATAAAATTTTCCATTAATTAATTTTATATTTTAAAAATTGGCCCAACCCGAATTAAAATCATATCATTCCGTCAGGTCTGATAAACGGATAGTTTTCAACAGGGAGATACACTACACTCTACTATATCTCTCGAAGTTCTGGGTATAGCGGTGACTATCGAATAATTCGTCGGTCTAGAATTGGAGTGCTCCACTCTACATTCAAAATTTTTGAGTTAGAGGTGGATAATAAACTTATATATTCTCAATATATATTTTTAAAAAAAATTAGATTAAAAAATATTAATTATTGTCAAAGTTTTACCTCTGTCAAAATTGATCAATAAGCTTTTCCTATTTTTGATTTTAAATTTTAATGTTGATTTCCTCATTTTAATCATTTATGCAAGTGGTGCACTCTAATTCTAAACCGACTAATTATTAATTAACTCTTTAATACTCAGGTGGGGAAAAAGTAAATGCTCAGGTGGGATGTGACAAATCCCAATTTTAAACTGATATATTTCCATATTAATTATTATGTTTTTATATAAGAAATAACAAACAAACCTTAAACTTTAATAAAATGTATTTATGTTATATATTATACAAAATATTGATGATAATTATTTTATGGCAAAAAAATTTTTTTTTAGGAAACATAAATTAGTCAATAATAAAACCGACTTTTGGTTTCATAAAGTTAATGTTTATCATTAAAAAAAATATATATTGACTCAGGTTTTAAAAAAAACTTATTTATTTACTCTTGAGGGGTTTAACAAACCCAATCCTCCCAAAACACTTACATTTTATAAACTACTAAAAATGAACAAAATTTTGAATACAATATTATAAGATAAATTCTATGATAGCTATTAAAGATTTCAGGTCTTATTAAGTTTTTATATTATATAATTTTAACAAATCACTGTCATAAATAGCCTGGACAAAAACATCTCAAATTTTGAAAAAAAATTAAATTACCTTTTTTAACGAATTAGAAAAAATTTTAAATTGGGGTATTTTTGTCCAGGGTACTTATCTCAGGGTCTTTTTATCCAATACATTTATGTTAGTTATTTAAAATATGACTTGGGGTATCATACATCCGCATGATTGCGGAAGGGTTAAATGTACAATACAAAATTTAAAAAAACATGTGTATACTGTTTGCTTATAGCCTTAACCTTCTTTTTTGGTTCCCTTTTTTAAAAATTTTTTTACATTTGAGTGATTTTAATTCAAACGAATCTTCGTTATTTGTCGTTGGGCAATAACCCTAAGATATAATGATTAAGATTTTTAAATATAATTACTTTTAAGTTTATTCATTACAATATAAAAGGTGTTAAAAATAATTATTTTTGCCAAAACAATTATTTTTTTGTTTATAATCTATTTTTTAAAAAAAATTTAAAATGTTTATTGTATCATTATATTTTAAACGTGATAAATTGGTTATGTCCCTTACGATAAATTTAATTTGTTATGACGAACGACTGTTTTTAATAAAACATTTGAATTTTAAATAGTTTGTGATGCGGTAAAGTTAATGTTTAATTTAAATTATGATTATGATAGTTATGAAGGGTAAGAAAGGAAAGAAAGAAATAGTCAATATGGAAAAATGGCGATAAAGAGTCATAATACACTATATTACATATAGATGGGAAAGGACTAAGCCTGCCAAACCAAAACTCAGACCTGAATATTAATATAGAAATCAAATTATGTGGATTATTATTTTTTTATTTTTTAAAAAATTTATTTAGAGGGGCAAAAAAAAATCTCTGAGAGCTACATTACACGTCAACGGAGAAGCATTAAGAGTTGTTGATAAGGATTCTAAAGTTTGTATTCGAATGAATTTATCACAAAATTTTCTTTTATCATCCGAAAATGTGAAAAATATTGATAATAAGGATACGACAAATTTTTCACTCATTTATTTCTAAAGTGACATCTCCAGGCACTTGATATTTGTTTTTTTAACTTTTGTTTTTTAATTTCAAAGATTTTAACTTTGTTTTATGTTAAATTATTTAATTAAATGAGATCCCCTCCGCCACACACTAAAATCAACATATATGAAATGCTTTTTTTTACTTTCAAATAATGTCTTAAAAATAATTTTAATTATTAAAATCAGACTATAACTAGTATTAGGTATGCAAATCAGTAATACTTCTTTATATAATACTATTATAGGGATCGCAATCATTTTTTTAACACTTTTTTTGGCAATTTCTTAATGGTAATTTTGTTTTTATTCTAAAACCCCCAATCTTAACCCCTCCTGTCCTTTTAATTTTTGTAATATATTGTTAGTTAGTTAAAAAAATCGGAAGAATTTATTAAAAAGAAAACCACTCTTAAACTGTCATTTATATAAAAATGATCAGAATTCCCATCTATTTCACTTTCGGCCAGTTCTCTGAAGTGCCATCTGGCCTGGTATCAACAGCTTCTGTCAAAAATTTAGCCACTTTATAACTTTCCACTGGGAAATTATAAATAAACCCATCTCAATGGGAAATTAAATTTTATCACTTTTTTTAAAGAAAATATCACTGAATTACAATACTATTTTATAGAAAAATATATTTATATTTTTATAATCAAAACAACGAACTTAAGAATTTCAGGAAAAAAATTATTATGGCCATTTTGAAAATATCGACCACCAGTCTACAGGTGATAGATCTAAGCACACAAGTAAATTTCATCAACACGCACAAAAATAAAATTGCATGAATTACTTATTATTGCATGTCATTGTTCCTACCAATTATTTTAACTTTTTCAATTAAAATATACTTATGGTATGTCTAAAGCGAAAATTAACCCTAATATGAGATAAAATTAATTTATTGGATAAATATTTGAAATTTTGTATATTCTGATCCAGGGTTTCGAACCGTTAAGCATAACGGTTCGGTTTGTTCCGGTTTTTAGTTTAAAATTTTATAAAGGTTTTGTTCCATTTCGGTTTTTTAAAAAAAAATTCATATCGGTTCGGTTTATAATTTATAACGGTTCATTTCGGTTTGTTCCGGTTTTTATAAATTTGATTTTAAAAAAAATTAATCATTAACCATGTATATGTATATATTAATTTTAGAGAATAATCTTTTCAATTTCTAATTTAATTTAACCATGATAATCTAATAGATATTTTTATTAAACTTAGTAAATATAAATTAGACAAATTAATTTTTTTTATTTCATAAATAAATAAGATAAAAACAAACATGTGTAAATACAATGATGAATAAAATAACACATAAATATAATAAAAGGTATACTATTTATGTTTAAAAAGAGAATTAGAACGGATTACTAAAAAAAATTTTCTAATATTTCAGGATTTAATTTAGTTCTCTGCGCAGAGAGTATAAACTTAAGGCTAGAAAATGCTCTTTCTACGGATACCTGCATAGCTGGAACTGCTAGCATATTTATAGCTAACTTATAAAGTTCTGGAATACTATTCTTTTCATTTCCCAATTATTCAAAAGATTAGTATCTTTTTCTAATCTCTCTATATTATCAAATGACCGAATTATATATTCTATTTCTATACATTTATTATAATTTTCTATGCCCTGAGAATTATTCTTATTAAGACTTTTATGCGACTTTAATAAATTTTCAAAATCATCATCTAAATTATCTTTCGAATGCGAACACGTAGGTATAGTATTTAGAATTTCAATATTCTGATTATTTAGACTTTGTATCAAGTTCCAAGTTTTACAAAGATGTTTTCTGGCGGTCTCTCTTTCTTCAAATGTTAAAAATATTATTTTAATAATAAATAATTTATAATGACTTAAATGAATATTAGAATTCTGAATTTAAAAAAAACAATATGATTGTAAATAAAAAATTATCATATCATTAAAATATTGCTGATCATTTTATTTATTGTCATTTAAATTCTATGATCCAAGTTTTTATAATGAGATAAAAAATAAACCATATAATATAAAAATGAATGTAAAAAGTACTTGATTTCTATTAGATGTTAGTTATTAATAGTAGATTTATTTAATTTTTTCCTAAATTATTAGCAAGTATTATTATAAAAGCTTATTTATAACTTATATATATAAACTTGTTAATTTAGCCAAGAATAATTATGTGTGATTTTAAGTATCTTATCTAATTAACAGATAATTAGCCTAATCTCTAATAAAATAAGTATTTAAAGAAAAAAACATAAACTTGGTATTAATTGATATATAATGTTGATAGTATAAAAATATTTAATTTAAAAGAAATCACCAATTTAAAAACTTCCCCCAAGGAAAATTAAAATTTAAAATTAATTATTTTTTAAAACTGAACCGGTTTAACCGGTTAAAAATATTTATAACGGTTCGGTTCGCTCTTTTTATATTTTCTTTATAACGGTTCGGTTAAGGTTACGGTTTAGAAAATCATAACGGTTCATTCCGGTTTGGCGGTTCGGTTCAGTTCGGTTCGAAACCCTGTTCTGATCAGAGGCATAACACAAAACTCGAGGCCTCCCTACAAAAACAAAAATATTTTTATGGCTCCTGTATATTGTATTTATATATATTTACAAAGAATATTATTCTAGCGCTGCTCGCGTCTTAATTTGTTTGTCGGCATCACTGTTATTAAAGGCTACGTTTAAAAGTATCGCTATTTTACAAAAAAAAGTAGCGGAATATTTCCGCGCTGCTCACGCCTTAATTGTCGGCATCAGTGTTGTTAAAGACTGCCTTTAAAAGTATCGCGCTATAGCTATTTTGCAAAAAAAAGTAGCGCAATACTTTTACGCTACTTTAGAATTTTTTTAAAATATTTTTTACCTATCTATTTACAAGAAAAATATGATAAAATTTTAAATATATATTTCTTTTATTGCATTTCAATAATAACATTTCTATACGCATCCTCTCTAGAGCGGCGATCAGGAAGTATAAACTTTGCCGTACTAAATAAACGTTCAACTAGCACTTAAGGGCAATACAGTAATAAATAATATACATATTTTATATATATATAATCATTGAAAATGTTAATTCATTTTTAGATTTAAAAAATAGATCTAGAGGATGATCAATAGTATAATATTTCAAAAAATTATCTATAGTAGACGACGTTTTTGATCTAGCTAAGGTATCGTAATTTGGCTTGGTTGTATTTAATGTTAACATAAAACTATCAAGTTACCATTTGGATTCAGTCAAATTAATATATGGCCAATTCAACTTGAAACTATCATTTATATTTGAAAATCTAATTTATATAAAATGATTGTATTTATTGTAAAAGAAGAATCAAAATTTAAGAAATGATTAGTTATTGAGTTAAAATAGATTTATCTCAGATATCAGCATCTTCATTCTATATTTATGTAACATTTAATGAAATGTTAAAATTGCTTGATAAATAAATATTTGAAAAATAAAATTATGCTACACATTATTATTTGCGAATTTTATATGCTATATTTTAATATTATAGATTGTGTTGTAAATTAAGCTAATTAAATTATGGCTAGTCGATCAATAAATCATTATTTAATCATAGATAAAGATATTATAAATTAACCATTTTATATGGTTATATATATAAAATAATAATTATCAAAAATAGAGTTTTTTACCTTTTCTCAAGGCTTTCATAGATTTTCCAGGGATTGGCAAAATATTAGATAAGCCTTTTAGCTTGGTAATTAAGATACTCAGCGTTGGTACACAATATCCCATGCTTATATTATCCTGACCTTCCAAGATAAATTGATGCTGCAACATATTGCATAACCTAGGACCTTAAAATATAAAATGATTAAATATAATATGAAATTTATATTATTTAGAAATACCTCCGTATATTCTTTAATGAAAGTATACTCCTCATTTCCACTGGATTCCTACTTGATCAGATATATAATCCATTTCTAATCTTTTCTCACCCAGAAACAATGCTAATAGTTTCATAGCATCGTAAACACTATTCCATCTCTTAGTGTTGGGTGTTAATAAATAACAACCTTATTTTTTTGAAAACTTCTCACACCCTAGATGCTTTATGCTGTTTATTCCAAAGCTTGGCATTTAAAAAATGTGGATCTTGACACTCTTTTAAAATCCTCATTCATTAAATCTCCTTCAGCATCCATGTAGCTATTAAATTTAAATTGTCATAGGAACAACTATGATGGCTAGGCAATATAGAAGAGTTAATTGATCATCTTATATAATTAGGGACATGTAACGGAACCGGAACTGTCCTAAAAATATATATAAATTTCTTATTTATTTCTATAATTAAAAAATAAAATTTTTTAATTCGTCTGATAGTTGATATATTAAGTTCTTTTATAATTTTTTTAATAATCATTAATCACATTAAACTATATAATACTAGCAAAGTAATAAAAATTAGAACAAGTAGTAGATTAAAAAGAGGGAAAACATTTTTATCAAATTTAAATTTAACTATTTTTTTCTATAAAATTAAATTTTTCTTATTAAATAGATTTTTAAATGGACAATTTTATTTTTGATAATAATAAAAAAAATCATCCATACCTAGGTAAGTGTTGAACGTTGTTTTCGACACTCAAATTTATACTAACACCATAAAAAAATATAAGTTATAATCTTTTAGATAATATATTATTGCCTCGATGTAATAATTGATTAATTTAGTGATTAAATAAAGATTAATTAGAATGTGTAGATCTATATTTTAGATATTTCTCGCTTAACGTTCCGAAAGCTGGAATGAAGCCTGGACAATAATTTTTTGACCAGAACGGAAAGGCAAAAATGCCTTTCTTCCGGGTCCCTGCTTATAATTGATTAGAAATTTTATTATATATTTATGTAAAAATTAAATATAAAATAATTTAAAACCTTCTAGAATCTCATGAACATCAATTATTTCAACTTCCGTTTCCATGCCTATATAAACCACAGAGTGCTATAACAAGTTCGCTAATAAAGCCCTATTATTACTATTATTTTCAATGATCATATGGGATGAAGGCAGTGGCTTAACTTTAGATAGAGTCTAAAACTTTTTATTATACACTATATTCGTTAAAATTTATCTATTATGAGTAGATCTAGAGTATATTATCTGGTGATATATGCAAATCCAATTGTTATTCCTACCGGCCGATGAAAACTAACCTCATTGAAATCTTCCTGTTTATAATGACATGAAATAAAAAGATTTCTTCAATCAATATGCATCATCATCTTACCGGTGATAATACAGCAGTATAATTTTATTAATCTACTTTTGTTGGGGGGTGGTAAAATATTGGTATATATTTCTGCCATTTGGTATTCAGCTGAACTTACAAAATGTGTTTTCCCAGATATTACTTTATATTTTACCTCTTATTGATCTCTAAACGAGATTGTTATCTTATAAATAACACGGCTTATTGTCTTGAAAGAATTCAAATACAAAAAATTAATTGAAAGGTAAGCGATAATTTGATTCCCAAAAAATTTTTTAAGTTACCATCCACACATTCACGCAATCTTAGGTCTATAAAAAAGGCGAATATGCATTGCTTAATCCTAGATAAATTTATTTATTTTTGAATAAAGTTTAAATAATAAATTTTTTTTAAAATAATATATAAATTAATAAGAACAAATGTTGATATGACCGAAGTCAACTAACAAATCGGGTTCGAGCAGCCGATAAATAATTCAATGATGATTATTTTAATAGGTCTATTTTTTTATATTTTAAAGAAGACCTCTCAGAAATCTCTATAAAAATTTAGAGTGACATGCCAAAAACCGATATTTATATTTTGGCTATCATTTTTCTTTATAAAAAAATATCTCAAAAAGTATTAAAGCTCTCTTTTCACTATTATCCTTTTTTATATAGCTAATTTTTAGGATATTGTGAGGCATGCAAATTTCTTATTGGGACACATTTTTTAGTTATGAGAATCGAAACATAATTAAAGATGATTATTTAAAGTCACCTACCTAGAAATGCAATCCTATTTGATTATAATAATATCTCAAGCAAAATTTTGTGAACTGCGATTGGTTGTCTACTTGGAAGACCTCAAATAATAAAAAATATTCTCGATTTTTGTTGGTTAGAATATTTCGAAAAAATATTAAAAACCGATAACTTTCTTTTTTACAAACATAAAAAATTACACTATTTAAAAAAAAAATCGCAATACTCTATAATTTATCTTCTCTTCTTTTTTTTTCGTCGAATTTCCCTTAGGGGAAAAATATTATGACAATCATTTTGTTTAGGTTTTGGATTATATTTTATATTATCCACACGGAAAGCTAGTTTTTTTATTAATAATATAAATGATTATTGGACTAGTTTCGGACCTTTTATTTAATCCTTTTTTATTATATAGAATGAAAGATCTTGGTTGTAGATCCTCAATTCAGTTTTTCAATTTAAAAATAACTAAGGTATATTATTATTATATCGGCTTGCTTCGGTGTGAATCTTCTTGTTTCCGTTAATGGAGGTCAGTTTCCTCTATATATTTTCCTATATCCCCAGCATCGCCAATGACGAGACTGCTTTCTAGAATCATTATTCGGGTCCAGCATGGACTTCCCAATGCTTTTATAATATATTGTTTTTGGGGATTTTTATATATAAGTTCTTGCCTATTTTCTAAAAATGTTAATTTGGATCTGACTGAATATAGTTTTTTTTGAACAAAAGTTATTGCTTAATGTTGTACCTGGAAAAATAGGTCTTAATAGTGCTTTAGTTGGGTCCATTCTATCATGCATATTATAAAATGTCTTACTCCTGGTCTCTATTCCTGAGAAGCATCTCTACACATCTTCTCTGCCTTTTAGTTTAGCATCTCCAAACCACCTCCACTAGAATCAAATGATTAATGATCTCATTTTTCTCTCTCTCCATTTCTCACCATATAATATATATTACAAAGTTTTCATTTTAAAATCCATAATATTACAAAAGGAAGGATTAAATTTATTTGGTTCAGGAATCCATTTGGATAGCTTTTGTAAAAATCTGTCATAGCTGTGTTGACGTCGAATATTTTTTTTGCATGTTCTAAATGTTGTGTATTAGTGAAAAATTTGTCGTATTATTATTATATTATAAATTTATATAATATATCTAACAACTAGGAATGTTGAATTTGTAGAATTTATTATTCTACATTATTAAATGTATGAATGCAAAATTCTTCTTTAGGTCTATTTATTTAAAAAAACATCAAAATGTTATATTTCTCCCCATATGATCTCATAATTACGAATATAAAATCTTAAAGGGGTTGATAGTGGACCAAACTATCGAAAAGGTATCGTTTTGCGCTCCTGACCGGAATTATGACAGAGGATTTTCATACATTTGTCGAGATGGCACTACCCGCAGGTGGATGTGCCACGGGTTTTTAGCACTCAAATATTCGGTTAGTCCTTTTTTATATTTTTTTAAATCAATATTATTTTTATGATTATTATTTTCTAAAGTTCGGTTTGCGATTTTTGGGGCTCTATATTTAACCCAGGACCGATTACGACATTATTTAGATATTATTAGCAGGGTTGTGCATTTGACCGGTCAAATACGTTTCGGTCAATTGACCGATATTTGACCGGTCAAATATGGTCAAATACGGTCAAATTCAAATATATGTTTTTTTAAAGTTAATATTAACTTTATTTTGAATATAATAGTAAAATAAAATCTATAAAATTAATTTTTTAAATTCATTGTCATTCAATAACTAACGTGTAGCTATTGTAGCGGAGTTCTTGTTCTGATTCATTTTCAATATTATCATTTTCTTTAATATTTTTTAATCAATTTTCCTGATGTCTTAGATCTTCAATCGATTTCCATTTTCATAAGAATATTAACCCTAATCGACCTATTTCTTTCTAAAGAAGAAGTAGAACTAGGAATTGTTAGTCTCTTAATGGGCAGGGTGGACAAAGTTTAATCTATTAACTAGAGGTCGGAATTGATTGTTTCTGGAAATTACTACTTTCCGCATAATTTGCTATATTAAACATGCTGTTTTTGCTTCTGAAATTAATTATATCACTTAAAATATTTTGGTCATCACTACCTTGTAAAAGAGCTAATTCTTGAATTATATCACATACTTGTGAGCTCTCCTCTTGATATTGTGAACACAAAAAATAAGCAAACATTGTGATCACATGTATTTACATCTTTTTTCCCTTTTTTAAACATATTTTCAATTTATTCTTCCTTTAAATTTTTTAGAGTATTTGACCGTATTTGACAGGTCAAATACTCCTCCGGTCAATTGACCCGTCAATTGACTGAATTTGACTGGTCAATTGACCGACTTGCCAACCCTGATTATTAGGCAATAAAGAGTGTAACAGTTTCGATTTAGGGGTCATATAACCCCGGTTTGGAATACGAAATCATTCAATAATTTAATCATAAATTTGAAAATGAATATTAAATTTTAATTTATTTATTATTTCGTTTTATAAAAAAAAAGAAAAATATAGTTTTAAAATCAAAGATTAAGATTATACAGTTCATTTTTCTGTTTCCTGGTTCCTAATTTTTTTTAAAATGATTTATAATATTTAGTCACTAAATAAAAGACTTATTTAAAAAAAATATTAAATTTGAGGGGAGTTTTGCTATTATATTTTTATTAAATTATTTTTATATCCTTTTTTTTTAAAAAATAGAAAAATGGTATATTCAGAAAACGTACACATGTTAAAGTAACAATTTTACAAAAAAGGGCAATAGCTTAATTTTTTGCCACCCTACTTTTAACACTTTATTCATATAAATTATGGACTAACGCTAAAAAAAATTAAATAATTTTACAAAATTACTAAAACCAGTTTTTTTTATACAAACGCACCAATAATTATATATCTATCGCACTTTGCAATTACTCACGAATCACTGCCTAAGCCTAACTCACAAATATTCATTATTTTATTTTTACATGCTCAACATATGCTCAGATCTGATCCAGTTCCGTCCCTCTCGACTTGGAACTAAATTTTGAGGCATCGTCGAACCGGTCTGATTTCAATTTTTTTTAAAAATATGAATTGCATTATGATCACGCTTGCTTTGTTCTAGAAACTATAAATATTATTTATTAAACATTTTAGAAATTTTGTAATGGTTCTTCAATCACATACACATATGAACACTAGATTTCACAATATAATTTGAATATATTAAAAATGAAATATATACCGTCGGCTGAATATTATAGTGTTCTATACCCATCTTTTAAAATTGTTCAGGAGAGCACTTTAAAAAAATATATTTCTTGTATTTAAGTAGGGCTGTGCCGATATAAAATATTAGATCGGTACGGATATTTAGCGTTGATCGGGCCAATATTTTTTAAAAAAACTGATCCGATATTTTGTATTGTTATTTAATCATATATTAATATAATTTTTTATTTTATAAATAGTTTTATAATAATAAATTAATGAAAGGAACTAAAATACAATTTGTTGTAATGTAAAATAGTTAAAAATTTTACACTATTTTTTGTTAAATTATCTGCAACATATCTAACGAGTCAAATTTAGCTATTAAACTGTCCGATTTATCCAATTTTTAAAAACGTTTTACTCCAAATTTTGACCAAAAGTAAATTACTCAAGCATATTGATTTTGCCCACAAATGGTAAAAAGATTTGGACTTCTATTGGTGAAATTTCAAGGCTTAAGTATTAATATTTTGGCTGAAATTTTGATTTAGCCATTTTTAAAAATCGGCTAAATGGAGCTGTTTAGCAATACTGCATTCACCCATCCATGGCATATTATTAACTTTTGGAGAACAAAAATAAAATACACTTAATCATTCTTGAAAGTTAGTTTTTTTTTAAATAAAAAAATAATGATATTTTTATGGCATTGAAGATAAATGGTTAATAAAAATCAATTAAAATGCGGATTGTTAAAAGTTTGTGAATTTGCACAGCCCTATATTTTAGATAGAAGATCACAATGCAATAATACATATAAAGATCATTCTAAATTATATTTTAACATGTTTATTGTGGATATATAAGAAAAAAGTACTGAAGAACTTATTTATAAATAAAATAAAGCATTTTGCAAAAAAATATGGTTTATGTTAGGTTATTTATAACATTTCTCTTATGTAAACTAAATAATTTAAATGTAGTGCCAAAATAATGTAATCAAATTCTCGGACAAGGCTAATCTGACTCTCCATTAAAATTTTTATTGAACTCTCTATTATATTTGACCATAAAACCGATGAATAGAACTCTAATCTCATAGTAAAAACATTATATTCCTGTTCATTAAGAATGACAAAATAAAATTTCCTTTTTGAAAATAAAAAAATTGTATAATATAATTTCGGACTCGATATTATATGATTTGCTTATTTTCGTTTTTTTTATTTCAATCTTTAGTAAATAAATTAATTTTAATAATCAAAAGAATTCTCAAGGGTATTTAATAGTTTTTTTAAATCTTTTTTTTAGAATTGACTATACTTGGAAAAAAATATGTTTTGAACTTATCACATAATACTTTTTATATATTATCTGTTACAAAGTCAATTATTGGCAAAAATTATTATATGAAAGGGGTTTCCTATTTGTGGCTATAAAATCAATTTATTGGTATCAAGATTGTAATTGTGGTAGGTCTTCTTATTTCTTAATATATTAAACTAAAAATTTATAGATGGGATTGCAAGATTTGCAACTCTTCTACCAGCTCAATTAAAGCTTTACCTAGCCTTCAAATTAAATAATATTAAAAGAAAAAGAATTTAATAAAAACTATAATTATTTAAAATGAAAATACCCTTAATATTATTTTTTAAAAATTGGTACTCCCGTAGTTTCTAGGTATTCTTAATAGTTCATGACTAGACTCAAGGAAATCCACACTATGTTTTTCAATTAGGGTTATCTACTTATAGCAAGTTCGCCCCCGTTATTATCGTTCATATGATTTATGATCACATTAAAGATTCAAGAAAAATCGAAAAGGAGTTTTAAAAGGGAATTTAATACATATAATAAAGTATAAAAAAATGGGGTAGGAAATACTTGTCAAAATAAAATTCTACTCTATCTTCACTCATTCTTTTACTTTTTTTCTTTTTTTAAAGGGGGAACGGCTTAGCCACGCGGTAGGCTGCGCGTTTGCGGCATGTCTAGAGCGCAAACAAGCTCGCGATACACAGTGTGGGGTGGCTGTTAAATATGACGGGTCTAACAAGACCGCCTTCACAAGGTTCGGATCTTTTGCTAGGGACGAAAAACGCGAAAATATTATTGGTAAAATTTTTAGAAAATTGAATATGAAAGTATATCAATGATAATGTTTTAAAGTTATTCGAAACATTTATTTTTGTTATTTTAATGGAAAGAGTTTGTAGCGATAAGAATATTGAGTTAATTTTATGGCCCTCACATTGGATTATGTTAAGGATTTTGAGAAGTGATTTTATTTCTGGTTTTATATAGGAAAATGGTGATAGGATATTTTGTAAAGATGTATATAGTATAATTAATATCATAGCTAACAAAATACTTTAATATTAATTTAGGTAACGGCATTGGCAGAAATTATGTCAATGGAAATTCCGGATCTTTGATGAACGGTGCGCTTTATTTTGGGATTTTAACAACAAATTAATTTAATAATTTCTTCTTGTGCTAATAATACTCTTATTTGATATTATTTTAAAATCTAGATTTAAAAAACTATGATTTATAAAATTCTAACCCATTGAGCTAAATGAAGTATTATTTTATTCTTCCAGAAATGATCAAATTAATTAAAATAATTGCTACGAATGGAACCCTTTTTTTTAAAAAAAATTGAGTTCAGATTCTCATGTCACAGTCTGAAAATATGTTTGGTAGGGGTTTACAAAAAATGCCCATTACCCAGGTTCGGCTTGAAATCCTGTTTATTATCTTATTCCCTTTCAATATTAAAATAATTTATTTACTTTTTTGTACTTAAATTGAGTTATTTATTATTTAATCGATACAATATGTTATTGGTAAAAGGCGATTCATTATTATGTATTACTAACAAATTCCCTCCAAAGATAGTTGATCAGAAATTTTTTCATTTATAGATGACTAATGCTTCTGCAAATCCTTTACTAACATAAAAATGACAAAATAGAAATTTTAAATGAAAGCATAGTTAAAAAGATTAATAAAATAAAAAAATACACATAGTTATGTTATATTTTTTTTAAATCAAAAACATGTTCTGGTAAATTTGAATTTACGTGGCTAAAAATTTTATCTATCGCTTTTATTTATAGTAATAAAAAAGGTTAACGATGCTTACTAGCAAGTGAATGAATGGAGATATTCTAAATACCAACCAAAATTTATTAAAATGTAATAAATAAAACCCTTATTATTTAATATATTATAACGGAATCACGTGGTCGAGTCCGGCCTTCTATATATCATCCCCCAAAGGATGGAATCACCAAGTTAGATTAAGAGAAAAAAAGCATGCCATTCCCGGGATTCGAACCCACGACCATGGGATCAGTAAGCGAAGCTCTTGTCTACTAGGCCATAGAGGCTTTCCAAAAATCACTTCAAACATATATTATAAATATATTTGGTAGTGCCTATCCAAATGAAAAATAAACAAAATTCAAATTTTATAGGTAGTACCTTAAGGTAGTAAGCATCATTAACCAATAAAAAACGCTGGTATTACAGGAAATTGTCATCTTTCCAAAAATAATCATAGCCGCTAGGAGTGAAAAAGTTTGGGAATGCAAAAACTCGATATGGTAGTTAATATAATCATCAGGGGAATTGGAAACGATGGAATCAGGGCTAAGATGCTGATACACTTAACCTAAAAGATAATATACAGAATGCTAGTAAACCTTTGGGCATCGTAATCGTAAGCAATTTACATGCTTCTTCATTTATAGGTAGTTGTAAATAAGTTTAAGAAAAATCTACCTTCTAAAAATACTTTCTTTCTTTTAAATTCGATAACATTTCATCTATCCTATGAAGTATACTTAATCTCTACTACACAAGAATTCAGAGTCACGCTAAAGTCCGTACATAAACGCAATTTAACATTGGATTTTTTGCACTGGGACCAATAGGATTGTCCAATCACTTATCAATGGAAAATATAATTGCGTCCAATAACCTTCAATCTAATTCCAATTCGATTTCATCCTTCCATTCAAAAGGAACCCTGAGCACGTCGCAAAATTTTCTACTGGTTCTTCTCATGACTTTTCTCCCATACCATTTTTCTATATTTTTTATATTTCTCCCATACCATTTTTCTATATTTTTTATATTCCTTGCATTAAACCTTTAATTCTGTTGGACAACTGTTTTATATCAAATCATTATTTACAATATTATTTTTTATAATATACACGTTTGGGCCTTGCCTACTTTTGCAGATCTCTAATTAACGGTGCCTAAAATATCTTCCTGTTTTTCATGACCTTCAATAGTCAATGAATGCCCCCCCCCCCGAATTTATATACTGATTTCTCTTTATTCTCATTTTTAATAGTAGCCTTATATCCAGGCAAGTACAACTACTACTGTCCCTATGCTATTTTTTGTTAAATTATCATATTTTGAGACTTTAACCTTTAACATATTCATGAGAAATTAATTACTATTTTAATTAAAATTTTTTAACTATTATTAACGTTAAAATATATCCAACAATTAACACTGTTATTAATGATAAAATACTAATATACATTATTTTTCTTTACAGACAATATTTTTCTCTGAGTGAGCCATTTTTAAAAATCGGCTCAAATCAAGCCGTTTAACAACATTACTTTTATAACATTTTTCTGGAATTCTATTTATTTTTTAAATTTGTGGCCTTTTTTATAATCCTATTTTAGTTTTTACAAAGGTTCCGGCACCATTTTATCGGAACTCTTATATATAGATCTTATTTAATTTTTTTCACCTAACCTTTTTTATATTCTTATATTACTTATATGCTTCATTTATATTTATCTATTTTTTTTCTTTGTTTGCTAAAATTTCTTTTAATTTTTTACGTATTAAAATATATGTGTATCAATATTAAAAATTCATAATAAAAAAATAACACCATAAACATAATGTTTTATAAAAAAAATATATTACAATATCCATTAAAATTTCAACATGAAAAAAAGGAAAATGTACGATTACGACAATATTATATTCTATTTACATTTTTATACCCTAAATTGATGATTAAACTAAATCAATATGATATGTTTTTCCGAAAAAATATTTTATTCATTTTGCTTCTCGTAAAATAAATCGTTGATACACTTTTAGGCAACGATCTCAATATAATAATTCACTAAATTTCATAAATAAAGGTTCTACTCATGATGGAACCGAACTTCCATTTTCCCTAATCTCGGACGAAACACGAAAATCGGCTCGACAAAGACCCAAAGTCAAATTGGAATTACTCAGGCAAGCTTCGTTTCGATGTCCACAATTATCGTCCAATAAAACCTGCTCTCCTTTTAAAAAACAACTATCGTTAAGGCTAAATGAGATGCCATCCAGCTTACAACATAATGCTCAGCAAAAGAGCTATGGATTCCATTTCAATATTTTAAATAACAATAAAACTAATAGTCATATTTTGGACGAATCGCTTTTGGGTAGTGACGAGCTGGGAAAAATCAACGAAGAAATTAAAATAGCAGAAGACGCAGAGAGTGACGATATAAAATTCCTGTGCCGGCAGATAACTCAAAATTTTTCTACCCTTCCTTCTTTCGTCACCCCTCCTTTATCTACTACGACCTTCGATTCCGCGTTTAATAATAATTACGATACAGATTATCTTAAAGTCAATAACCATAATACAAATGGCTGCATATTAGATTCGCTCATCCCTTTTCCCACCTATTCAGAAGAAAATAGCGATGATAATAAGAGATTGGTCGGCGATTTTAAACGAAGAAACCATGGTAGCTTCAGCCACAATGGCCAAATAATAGGTTATGACATGCTTGACAGTGATGTGACTAACAATGGTATAATAGAATCGGAAAGGACATTTACAAATAGAAAATCTATCGAAAAAGGTTGCTGATTTAAATTTATGCTTGGGAAAAATTACCTACTTTTTATACTTTCTCATAGTATCTTGAATGGTTAAATATTAATTGGTTTTAAAATTACTCAAATTGCCGTGTTTTTTCGTTTCTTCAGATCTCAGTGAAGGCCTCCTTTTCCTTCTTATATGTTTTTTTAAAAAATTATAGCATAGTATTTATATTTGTAATCTTATAAATTGTTTACATTTCAAAAAAATAATTTCAGCAGCCACGAACAATCCCTTTCTGGAATCTCATAAAATTTTGCAAATATCCGAATCATCTCAATATAAATCGAATCAAAAAGAAAGACGTAATCTTTTTTAAGAGGAAATTGTTTTTATTTAGGAATAAATAATCTAGAAAATTTTCTTAAAAAATAAGATTTATTTATATTTATTATCTGAAAAAAAAGTTTTAGATTACAAAGATTTAACCTCCCAAAATCCTGGCAAATATAATTACCCGCCATTCCAAATGACACGACAAAATACCAATCCGTTCTTACACAATTTAAATAATTCATAAATTTACCTTTACAGATGATGCGACTTAAAATGGTTGATAGTTTGTATTTTTTTAACAGTATAAACGTAATATTTTACATAAAAGAATTCAAACGCATTTTTGTTTTATTTAAATAATCTATTTTTTTTAAACTCGTAAGCAAAAAACGTTAAAATCGACAAATATTGTAAATTATACGATTTCTGGGTTCCGAAATTTTTTTTTAAAAAGCCAGAAGCCAGCCTACTTGTATTAAGGTTATATAAATAATGTAAAAAAAAGTAAATTATAATATTTAATACATTCCATCTTAAAAATGATTATAATCTTTTTAAAACTTGCATTAATTATAAATTTGTAACAATATATTTTTTGAATTATTTACTATATTTTTTTTAATCTGTTTTTAAACTTATAATAATGCATTATTTTAAAATATTAAGATCGACTTTGAATTTTTATATTTATTCGCATAATATTTTTTTAAAAAAAAATAAGAAAGTAATTTAGGAATTTTTTATTGTTTTTTTTTCCTGAAAATATTAAATTTAGTTTGATTAAATTATATTTTTTGAATAAGCTTTTATCATACTATAATTAATTGATATATAACTAGAAGTAAAATTTGTATAATAAATTGTAACGAAATTTTGGATGAATTTTTTTATTACTAATTCTTTTTTAAAAAAACGCGCAAATTCATAATTTATATATGGTCCAATTTCAATTTACAAATAACCGAATCATTTTGGTAAAAATTGTATTTTTTTGGTAATTTTAATATATATACATTTTTTATATTCTTCAACTATAAACTTTTTAAAATTATTTATTGGATATTGTATTATTTATGAAGTATAACGTAATACATTGAAGATTGATATTAAAAGTTTACCCCAAATCTTACCTAGTTACATAACTTAATCACCTTAAACTAGTAGTTACTTTAATTTTTTCAAAATAATATAATTAAATACGACTTAATACACTAAATAAAAGCAGTTTATTAAAAAAATAATCATAGTCTTAGAAATTTTTATTGCTGTAGAATAATCTTACCTCTAAATATGAAAAAATTATTCCATTTACGTCAAAACTCTATTTAGCTGTTAAAGATTTCCCAGCTGAAATTGTTCTCTAGACCAAGATAATTAATGCTTATTATTATCATCTGACATTTCGAATATTTCTTTCATAAATTTGCAATATAAGTTGAATATAATTAATTAGAAGCATACAATGGTGGAAATTCATTATATATTGTCGCTGTATTAAATTTCTTAATTTTTAAATCAGCTCATAAAATTTTAAACAATTTTACTATCACAAAATTTTCAATATGATTGTTTATTTCAAAATTTAAAAAAATTAGACAACACTTTTTAAGATATAATAAAATAAGTAATTTAAATATAAATAGTTAAAATTCTTCAAAAAAAAGGTAATGATTTTCATTAACAATATAAATAATTTTAAAATGTGATATTTGACCAGGGGCGGACTGGCCATAAGACCCGGTGGGCATTTTGCCCACGAGGCCGCGAGAAAATGTCGATTTTTGAGGCCGATTAGAAAAAAAATATTATGTTTACATTATTATCTCTTATCATTTATTTATTTTTAATGATCTCTATGATTTGAATATCACATTTCTTGAGAATTGTCATCTCGTTTACTTTATTTTAATGCATATTATATCAAAAACATCGCTTGATGCTACACATCACCATGTTCTTTTCTTTGTTTTTTTTTTCAAATGAAGTGAAAACGCGTTTGAGGGGTGAAAGCTAAGTTTTGATTAATTTATTATATTATATTTTTATACATTGATTTATTGTAGAAATAATATAGCCAACATTTCTTGTTCTAAATTCATTGAAATAAAATAAAATCCAGGTCGGTGAATCAGATAAAAGGGTAGATGCTTGGGTGAAACAGAATAATTCATCTGGCCAAAATAAGTTGAGAAGGGTGCAAAAAAATAGGTGAGATAAAGTGGGGGCACGTGAAAAAGCCCTTAGATGGATATATGGTAAAGAGAGCTTGCTCCCAATAACGATAAAGGCACTTCAATTTATAATAGATAATAAATAATATAAGTAAACTTGATAATTTATGTAAATTTAAGACTCTAAGAACAGCTATAATATATTTGCAAATTTTTAAAATAATGGGGCCACTGTCATATCCTTCAAACTAAAAAATTAGGTACTTTGTCAGCATGGAAAATGAAAGAAGATGCTAATAAAGCAATAAAATGGCTGCTAATTTAAATGAAACATTTATATTTATAGCTCCAGGAGAGTATCTGAGTAAAAAATGTTCTGTAAAAAAATTGAATAGGATCAGCGAAGAGAATATATAGTGACAAATGCCAAGATGAACGTCCTCAAGAATCGATTGAGCTTTATAGGTTCGAACTATTTTGTCCTATAATTGATCAAATTATAAAAAGCTTGTCGGAACTACTTTCTGCGAATTGAAAGCTTATCTAGAATGTGCAATATTTGCATCCAAGACATTTTGATGAATAAATAGCAAAGGTATTTCTGAAAAGGCCTTGGAAAAACTGGCACAATTGGCATATATATTGAGTGTTAAATTTCATAACGAATTATGTTCATTTGCCAGTGTATTCAAAGATTTGGTAGCAGAATTAAATGAAACGGACGATGATATCGCATGTACAAGTGAGGAGTCAAATAAAGAAGATTGAATATTACAATATAATAAATCAGAGTGTGATTATAAATGTAACAAGTGTTTAATATGCGTGTATGAAATTCTTAAAAGTTACAATATGCATACAAGTGACACTAATTTATTTTTGGCATAATGAATACATATTAACTTTATCATTTACGCAGGTTTGCGAGAAAGCATTTAATAAATTAAAAATAAGCTGAGAGCTAATATTGACCAAGAAAAATTAGAAGCGTTTTTAATGATGTCAGTTGAACGAGAACTATTAGCGTAGATTTAACCAGAAGATATTCCTGTATATTTGCACAAAGGTTCAAAGTTAATGAGATTTATTAACGTAAAAATTATATATTTTTTTAATTCTTTTATTAGAATCTTATTAATATTATTTACAATATGATCAGTGCCTGATTTTATAAAAGTGCAGCAATTTTATTCTCTTTAATATTGTATAACTGCAATAATTTTATATTTATAATTAATTGATTTAATATATTGAGTATGCATTTTTTTAATATTTAACATGTGATGTATGATTTGATTTTATAGTGCAATATCGTTGTAAATTTAATATAAAATATATATTTTCAATAAATATTATTTTATATAGGTAATGAATATGATTTTAGATGTGCATTTTTTTTAAAATAAAATATATGATTATCGTATACTATTCTTTTTTTTTTACTAAAAATGTAAAACGTTTGAACTTATTTTCAAAAAATAAAAAGTAAATCATGTAGATTAAAGAAGCCATTTAAAGAAACCCGGGCAAAGGCGGACTGAAGCCCGCAAAATGGAGGTATGGGGGCGAATGCCTCATATAAATGAGGCCTCTATAAAAAATGCCCAAGAGGCCGTAGCGTCGCCAGTCCACCCCTATATTTGATATAACATCTCATTTATAAGAATGGTTTAAATTCTTAGTAACTTATTATTTAGATCAAGCTCTTAAATTTTTGCCTGAATATTAATCAAAGCTGTTATCATGTGTTACAGAATCCACTGTGATATATTTTGTTTGAAATTAATTATATACATTCTTGTGACTCAATTAGATCTTTTAATTTTTTAGCTAAATTTACAGCATCTTTATAAGCAAACACTTCATTATTTCGATATTCATGAGTGTTTTTCATAATTTCAATAATATATGATAGGCATGAACAAAGGCTTTTGTAAAGTTGACTAAATAGATAATATGCCCAATCTCTGAATTATTGCAGAAATCTTTTATTTTAAATTAATTAAAAAATGTTGCTGAAGTCTGCTCCAAAATAAATTTTGTTTGGAGTGTATGGATTCAAATCATTCATAATATCATATTGTTTGAAAGATTTTTTAATTCATTGCTACCATAAAAAACGAATTATAGATTTATCCTTAACTATTTTAATGAGTTCATAGTAAATCTAAAAACACAGGTGGTATTTTCTGCTTACTCATCAGTTTTTCAAGACTTGAGGCTATGTTGTTTTATTTTTAAAATTTATTTCTGTTTATCCCATGCTAAGCTGATTTTGACTAGGACAACCTATTTTGGTTTGCTTTGTATAGATTAAATAAATGTTTTGGTGAGGAAATTGTCACAAAGATGCTTTACCTACTCAAACCTAAGTGTTTCATTTTTAAAAAAATCCTAATGATGATAAAAATACATAAATATTTTGTTTTAATTAAAAAAAAATTAATTGCATAGATATAACTTTCAGTCACATCATTCAATACCAAATTTAAAGAATGGCGTGCATAAGCAAAAAAATATGTGGATTTTTAACAAAATTATAACTTTGCACTTTAGTGTTTACCTTCATATTTGGATCCTTGCCCTCAGAAATGGTTCGAGGGAATTTCTAACTATTCAATGGTGTTAGAATTTTTCCTAGTCTTAAATCAGTGGAATCATTAAATATGAATGGGCTTGAGAAATATTTGTAAAACTTATAATGGGCTTGAGCCGGACTTGGTATATTTTTTTTAACATTAAATATTTTTTTACTGTGGGCCTGGGCTGGGCTTGGTCAAAAAATTAAGGCCCATGAAGGTCTCTGCTTTGTACTTTAGAACAACAAAAAAGACCCAATAGGGTAAAACATCTTAATAGAATTATATATGTCATTTCTTGGCCACCCCAGTAGCATCATTATTATGAGTAAGAGGAGGCACACAGGTTCTCTAAAATCCTAAATGAATAAGCCTTTTTAAAAAAAATATTTTAATCAATTTAATTTTATTTCATTCTCTTATATTTGATAATTTAGTTAACAATTTTATATTTTGTACTATAGGCAAAATACCATAACAAAGCACTTATAATAATAATTAAAATTTGAGGTTTAATCATAGGACCATTATAAATTCCCTGAAAATAAGTATATATATAGAATATATTATGCTATAAAAATACTTTATGCTTATAGTCAATTATGTATAATGGTTTTATGTCATTGGTATCTTTATTACTTCCTTGCACCTAACATATTAAGAAATTATAAATTATTTATGCAAAGTTTACTGAAATTATTTTAGAATAATCCTCTGCATAATATATTTTGATCAAATAATTTCCAGACTTTAGCTGGTTTCGGTCACCTTGCAAGGTTATCTAAATTACCTTTGTAAATAATAATCTATAGATTTTAACTTCATATTTGGACCCATCCATTGATTTTGCTATTGGTTTAAAATCACCATCAATGTTGGCATAAAAATTAAGATCCTAAAATAAATTATTAGCTAATTGAAAAAATTATTTTACCCTTAATCCATTTTGGCATTTTACTATAAAGTCTATAATGACAACAGACTTTGTTGCTAATATACCATCTGATGAGGTATAAATTTTATGTTTAAACTGAGGATCTATGCATTTTTTAACTATTTTAAAATATAGCCTTAATTTATAGTATTATATACTTTGAATATTTTCGTAAAAAGTAAGATAACTAAATACAATGAAAAATAAAAATAAATATTTCATAGCTTGATAACGTGTGATAAAAATAAATGAATGAATGCTATTAATTAACGATACCTGGTCCGGTCGATGATAAAAAACGTAAATTGTATATATTTATTTTATAAGTTCCAATATTTTGAAAAGCGATAGTGGAAGGGGTGCATATATTTAAGAAACCTACTTATATTTCACTTATGCTCGAGTCCAGGCAAGTTATTATTTGAAATTTTTTTATTTTAGACATCGAGCAAATAAAAATTCAATAATGATTTGGTGAAAGGTTCTATAAAGACATCAGTATTATTTCCCATTAGAAAGATCCTGCACGAATATATTTAAGATAGATGATAATAATCTTTAGGGCAATTTAAGTCTTCGCAGATCACCAGCCCCATTTCTTTTTGTTAAGTTACTTAGTCGTTTATTTCATTGATATAATTATTTTCAATGAATAAAATGAGTGATAAAAGTAAGATTCAATTAATTGAAATTTAAGCAATATCCTTGACATTTATAAACATTATATCATTAAAATTGGAGAAGTAAATTAAAAATATTTGTTTATCCTACCGTTATTTTTCAAAAAAATAACTAGTTCTACTACTATTTTTTAAGTAAGTGGACTTTAAACATAATGAATATCTTTTTCGAACTGTCTACAATTTAGTCGTAAGCACCCCCCCCCCCCTAGATTCCTGCTATAAATTATTACTTCTTCCCACCTCTTATCTCCTATATATTCCATTAATATTTATTTATTACATACAGCAGAAATAAGTACACTAGGAATTAATATCGATCTTAAATTTTCCTTAGCATTATATTTGTCTACCATTTTAAAATTCCCCACCATATCATTTGAAACCTTTTCACAATAAAACTAGCATGTTTAAAAAAAAATGACATCGATATGATTTAGATTATGAGAATGAGAATATATAAAAGATTGTGATAATCCTCGATTTTTAAAAACTGCTAACTCAATATTTTGGCCAGTGCCTAAGCCTCAAAATTTGGCTTGTCCAGATCCTTGGTGAGCGAAATCCTTAGGCTTACTTAATATTTTTCTCGATGCAAAATTGGGATAGCCGTTTTTCAAAAAGAAAGCTCAAATAAGGTCATTTAATTCACACTGAAATCATTATATTAGAACTTAGGGTAATATAGATGACAATTTTTATAAATTAAATGCCAATGTTGCGTCAAAATTAGAGCCCTATGTATTTAATATTTGTCTTCCTCAACTCGCATTAAGACGATTCAATATTAATATACTCAAATAAATAACATTTTCTTTCAGGCAGCACTTACAAATCTGCAAATATTATTTATCCAGAATCCCTCTGAAATTATTAAAAAATTTTTTAGAAAAATTAAATATTTATAATTCTCAGTTTTATTGTGAGGATGTTTAAGTAACTTATGATTCTTTCCTAGCTTAATAAAAACTATGAATAAAGATTAAATATGGTTGATAATGTTTCGCAAAATTTTAAACACATTTTTGATTATCTTCCTAATATGTATAAACTATTATATATTTTGGCAACTATACCCATTACTACTTCTAGACTGAAAGAACATTTTCTTTTTTAATAAGCATAAAAACATATATGAAAGGTAGTGTTGTTAAATGGCTATATTTGCTTATTTTTAAAAGCGGTTAACTCAATTTATATATCAAATTTTAAATCTAAAAGGTTTTTTACAAATATTGTAAACAATTAGTATTTTTTTTCTTAATTTTTATATGAATTTGTGAATTAAGAATAATATTTTACAGTCACTAGATTATATTTTGAAATAAAAGATATTCTTTTGAATTATTTTTTTAAAAAATTAATTATCCCGCGCCCCTCCTACGAATTCTGGCATACACGCCTGAGGCAATTACACACTAAATTAAAATTCATTTTTTTCATTATTTTAAATAAAATGTATTACATAATGCCAATTATCTTTAAGTTGCTTTATTAATAACAAATTCAAAAATTTTGGAGGGGCAGTTAAAAAAAATTTAAGTCATAGACCAAATATTTAAGTTATTTGAACACAAAATTGCAATATACAGTTATATTTACATCAAATATGTTAATAAAATTAGATAAAAGATAAGAATTGATTTAGAGCTGTAAAGAAATAAGTTGATTTAATTATTTTACAAATATTTATAATAATGTTGATATAATTAATTGTGCTTGTACATGTTAGGAATTCAATTATTAAATATATGTAATTTAGAAAATATTTGTAACTATATTACAATTGATATTATGATCAATTATTGAGCAGTATAAAACTAACAAAAATAAAGCATTAACAACATAATTTTGTGTTTTTTTAAAATACCTTAAAAACATTCCAAAATTAATAATTTCGGTTTTGATTTTTCTATTTCCTAATAAAACCAATTTACCCTTTCTTATATCCCTACTCAAACGTTTATCTGATATTTTAATGGTGGAAAAGTTAACTCATAACTCGACGTGGATGATTTAAGTTACAGAATATTTGAAAAACATTTGGAAATGCATTTATTATATGGGTATGAAAATTTGACAAAATCTAATTTTACAATCTTTATAATTCTCTATTTTTTAACAAATAATTTTTAACAATCTCAATTGCAATTACTAATTTCTCTTTAGTAATATTGGTTACCAATAAGGTTCAAATTTTTTTATATCTAGAAAATTAAAATGGCTATATATAAATTTGCTAATTAGTTTATACAAAAAAAAATTGAAAATATTTTAGTCTTATAATCCTCTTCTTCTATGTATACCGCAATTATAATGTTTCTCAAGGCCCCTGTATACAAGAACTTTCTCCAAGTTGGTAAACCCTTTTTGATATAAATTTGATTCACCATTTTTTAAGTTATAGATTTTACAAAGAAGGCAAAAAATTGCATCAGCTTCAAAATTTCAACCTATACGTATATATAAAACTTCAAAGAAAATATTCTTCCATTATTAGTAACTCTTTTTGATAGGTATTATTAAAAAACCCAATTTCAGTCACTTTTTAAAAAGGACCCTATTAAGATTTTAGCTAGAATAATATTTTGCAAGCCTAATCATTTGGCAATTAGATGTCTGAACCTTTCTGCATGAGAAAAATTTCCAGACCTACATAATATTATTTTGTTTTTAAAGGGCCGTTTTTTAAAATCTACCCAAATCGAGCTTTTTAACACCACTTGATGTTAGCCTATTTTTTGGTGATACCTGATTTAAATCAATTGTAAAATATTTACAATATGAATAAATTAAAAATCTAAGCTATCCATTTTGTTTTTGGGAGTTCAAGCTCATATTTCTAATTCTGACTTTGACATCTTGATCATTATTCTTCCACCCCCCCCCCTTTTTTGATAGACCTAGAATCGGGCCTATTATGTTCTAATTAATTCGAACATCATAAAATATATATTTACGTTCTTTCGAACAAATTCTCATTTAAAACTATCATTTATTATAGAAAAATTTTGCATCAAACTATAATTTATTCATTAAAAGTCAGCGGAATATCCATAAATTTAAAAAATTCTAAATAAATTTATTTGCTTAAAATAATTATATGCATCATTGGTATAGCATAAAAGTAAATTATAAGATAATCGGAATTATCTTAAAAAATTAATTTATAGCTAAATAGTTAATATTTAATACAAGTATTGTAAAAGGAACGCGTTTGTGAACGAAGTTCGTTTTTTTGAAAAAATTGATGAACGACATTCCTTTTATTTTTGACGAACTTTGAAACGTGAACGCATTCCTTATTTATGACAAATGTGTTCGAATTTAACGTTCATTCTTTTTATTTGTTTGAAAAATTTAATATTAATCCAAATTTTTTAAGAAAAAAGTCTTATATTTTATAATCAACTGTTTTTCCTTTTTCACGTTTCAATTTTTTTAACAAGCCATTATTATAGTTTATTAATTTGGATATTATTGTTTATATTTTAATTTAAAAGTAGCATCCGCATGGATATTATTATTATTAACACCATGGCCCAAATTTAATAAATATTTTATAGTAACTTCCTATATTGAAGAACTAATTCAATAATTGCCAAATGTATAATGTGCCCAAAAATAATATAAGTTTCAAAATCTTCAAGTTCCAATTCAAAACGACATTTGATTATAATATTAATTATTTTATATAATATAATATTACTAAGTGAAATCATTAAATTTGAAGAAAAAATGCATTTGGGCCACATGACGCCAACAATAACGATAGTTATTTAAAATTAAAAAAAAATTAGTAGCCTAAAATATGGTCAACCATTGATAGACGCCCTATTAAATGGTATTAATAAAAGGTATTAAACCTATCACTCTCAATTAATTACATATATTTTATTTTTTTTAAAGATTTGAACATATATATGAAGATCAATATGTTCTTTCTGCAATTATACATCCAGTATTCAAGCTTTAATAGCCATGGATAAAACTTCCACAGAACGAACCTATTAAAAATAAAATTATAGCGTTATTGAAAAAAATGCTTTGAAAACCCTAGAAATGATAATGCAAGAACTGTTAATTTCGAGATATCCTTTTTTTTGACGAGGAAGTAGAGGATGGATTGGAGGAAGATAACTTATCTCATTTTTTTGAAGCAAAGAACAAAACATGTTTTTACTAAATTCCCCACGTTAAAAGAGTTGTTTATTAAGTATAATACCGCAATCCCCTCATTTGCCCCTGTTGAGCGCGTTTTTAGCATACCTAATGTCATATTTACTGCCCCAAGCGTTCCTCACTATCAGATAAAAAATTTTAAAACAAATGTTAATAAAAATTAATAAGAAATTTTTTTTATAAATATAAATATCTTTTTATTAGCTATATTATATTGAATTTTTAATTATATTATTAAAATAAAACTATATTATTTTTTAACATATCTAATATATTGTGTTAAAAAAATATAAAACATTTATTTATATTAAATTAAATTTTTGAAAATATTTATCATAAAATTTTGAAAGAAAGTGAACGCGTTCGATTTTTTTAGAAATGTTTACAGCA